CCCGGGGCAAGAGCAGGAGTGTTTCGTGACGTAAGCGATCACGGATTGCGCACGCAACCTCATGGCCATGTGGTGCTCCATGCCTTTGTTTAATTTGAATTGCTTGGCGGTATTATTTTCCACATGTGACGTAATGCGCAGTATGATTGCGTACGAACCTAGACAACCTCTTATATATAAACCTTGGTTTTATCCTACTCTCTCTCTCTCAAATAATAAACGGGTTCTCTCTAATATCGATATTTCAGTCGATAACCGCAGTTATCTATTTTATTTTAAAAATTTATCTCTCGTAAATAAGCATTGTTATTAAAGTTAATTTAGGAAAACCATTTTTTTTGTTGTTACTCATAAAACGAGTTAATTTGATTTTGTATTAATTAAATGAATTTTTTGTCGAACCTGATTAATATTCTTTTGAACCTGAACTTGCCCGAAACCCTGAGTTTTTAATAAGAGTCTCTTAAAATTAAAGAAACCCAAATTTATAGATTAATAACTTGTGTATAAAACATCACACAAGTAAAACACCACAGTACCCTTAAAATTGCCTAAAGAATCACTCCCTGAAGTTTGGGCACGTCATTCAGATACACCCTGTATAGGTACGCTGACTCTTTAGATTCATCCCTCGAATGGGGATAATAGACCCTGGGCCTGTACCCCTGTACCCCGCAGATCTGTAGTGCCCACAAGGGGCGTTATCACCCAATTTGCGAAACACTAATAAATAAATAGAAAATATTTAATAATAAAGAATACAAATTTTTGCATGGATAATAAATTGGCTTTATTTTTTTTTATTAGATACATTTATTACGTTTTGTAACTAATAATACGCTAAAGATATATATTACAATTCCTTGTAACGGAGCAATAAATCCGTGGATGTAATAAAAAACGGTACGAAAATCACCAGATTTTAACATGTTACAAAGAACTCCGAATATCCAACAAATTCCAAACATAAACCATAATAAAATCGCTTGAAGAAGTTGTCTTTTACTGTGTAAATCGTTCTTCGATTCAATAAACGCTAATTTAATAACAATGATAACGTAAATGGACATATTAATTAACATTAAAATTGTAACAGGTGCTAATTCAAAGTATATGAATAAAGCACCTTTTGGAGTACACATGTTTGCTTCAACTTCGTATAATTCCTTTGATGAAACAATAGCGATTGCAATAACTCCAGCGGGTATTATCCAAACTGTAAATATATCGGAGTAAGAAAAGCACGGATTTCGTTTCGTTGAATTTTCTAAAGCCGACATAAATTTGTCATATTCAACTTTAGCGATTAAATACATCAGGATATTTTTAACGAGTACAATGTAATGAATGGTAACTCCTAAAATAATGCAAGGAACTCCTTGGGTTAATCCTGGAAAGAATTCAGCAATCCATAAAACTAAAATTTCCAACGCAATTGATATCGATAAATGAATTGTTTTTCTTCTTTTTACTCGCCATACTTTCGGCATAATACAAGCCATGATTAAAATCGTACAAACTCCTACGAAAGAAACGATCGATTCTAAAGTCCAAAAAGCCATAAAGAAAAAAGGAATTTTGTGCTCATCAATGATATCGTGGGAGACGATTAATAAACTAAATCTTGTTAGGTGATTAGTTTTACATTCGACGCTGCCATCATCGAGTGGTGAAGATGTTTCAATTCCAAAGTCATCCCAACTTTCTTTATGAATATTCCAAAAAACACAACTAACATTAGTTGATTTAATTTGTGGTTTTATAAATATACTTAAAGGTTCTTTAAATGTCTCAATGGGTATGTTAATAACAACATCAACAACGTCGGTAATACTTTTATTTTGATGTGCAGGAAAAAAATCGCTATTTTTATACGAAATTACTGAAAGAGCAAAATCGTTTTTTTCGGAAGCAGATAAATTTAATGAATTTAGAAATGTACTTGGTAATTTTATTGCAACGTTATTCAAAGGCGCTTCGAATTCCTCAGCTTCTAAAAACGGTTGTTGAATAAAAAATGCGATACTTGGATAAATAACCGTTATATTCTTTGTATTTTTCCCCAAATTCTCAACGAATAATTCAACGCTTTCTAAAAATTTATTTTTAGAACTTGTTGATACATTAAATGCTTTAACATCAGTTTTAAAAATTTTATCAGCAATTTCAAAAATTTCTTTAAAATTTGATATTGAAGTTTTCTGTAAAATATTTGAAATCAAACTTAAGTCGACACTTTTAATTTTGGAAACGTCGCTTAAAGATCGAGTTATATTTGTTAAATCATATTCTGTTATTCCAGTTAAATTTACGTTTTCTAAAAAGTGAGTAATCTGCGATTTAACACCGTGATTGCAAGGAAAGGTTTCCTCCCAATAAGGAATTGATAAACCATCTCCTATACATCGCCTATTAAAAGGAATTGCGTTTTCATCGAAACAAACTGGTGAAGAGATTGTTGTTGATCCAATCATAGTTTGGGGGAAATAATATAATAAATTACGGTCGTCGGGACAAAATGTTGTGCTATTTACTTGGTGATATTTACAACTTTTACTTGTATATCTTCTACGAGCTATATCTTCTCCTTTTCTCATATCTACATTATCTATTGATGTGAAATAAACGGTGGGATTATAATACAAATTGTTGTTGTCGATAACCGTTGAGGCACATGCAGAATAATCTTCGTCTATTAATATTCGAAAAATGTTTGTCGCATTCATACTTGCGATAACTTTATTACTAAAAGCTGGTTTAATTTCTCCGGCGTCTATAAAACGGCAAAAATAATATTTTAAATCACCATCTAATTTAATAACAAATTTTCGTCTTCTTTTTTCATTAATAGCAATTTCAGTCAAATTAACTAGAATTGTTGCGCCAGAACGTTTTGACCAGCAATCAATTTTTTTCTCGATATTTTTAACGGGTTTATCAAATGAAGCATATAACCACAACTTATACGGTTTCTTTAAGTTTTTAAAAACCAATTCTAATTTCACCGTAATATTTTGTTTGTTTGTTTCAGTTATATCTTCTATAGAATATTTACAATTATTATCAAAAAAGTCTAGATACGGTTCATCATCATTAATAGTATTACTTTTTGGAATAATTTTATAATCTTTCGAGAGAAGTAATAGATCAGGACAAGGAGTGCTTGGATAGGTCGCACATATGTCTTCATCTTCGAACGTTCTAAAACCTTTCGGACATTTGAATGAAAAATCTTCAAATTCGAGGATACAAGCTCCAAAATTCTGCAATTTTGATGTATCCGTAGTGTTATATTAAATTATAAAACATTGATTTAAAAAAATTACCTTATGTGAAAATACAAATATTAAAACTGTTAAAAAGATCTTAATCACAATTTTATTACACATTTTTTTACATGTATCGTTGAAATGTTTGGGTGTAAACTGTTTTAATTTGTCGTTTTTAATCAAATATAAATTAAATATGTTAAAAGTAAACCGCATTTCGTATCCGTTGTGGTCTTCTTGTAAAATGATAAATATCGTTTTATTATCATGTAGATAAAAATAGGAAAGTTTGAAAAATATTTTATTTTAATATAAGACCATTTGACGTGACTGACTACAAAGAATCGAAAGAGCACATAAAAACAGGGTGATTCACATAAGAACCGACACAGAGCAGGGACATGTAGAGGACAATAAATTAAGATGATTTAATGCAACTTATCTCTATACCAAGTTGTACCCCTGAGGAGTTATAGGCCTTCAAAGTTGGGTCGGTTGAGTTGTAGTCGGACAATCGACTAAACACGTATTGAGCGCTGCACCGCAGACAACCCCCCAAATTTTACATGGGCCAGCATTCAACCAGTATCGTTATTTTGCGGCACATCGATGTGCTCGATAGAAGCATGTTACTACTACGCTATAACCCGTTCGCTGCTCTATACAGATGGTGACATCAACAGTCCAAAACGTGGTGGCTCTGGTTCAAACAAACATTCTACAGAATTGCACAATGTAAAATACGCGAATTCATAGGAGACGGGGATTCAAAAACGTATGATGCTATTCGAAATAAATCACCGTATAAAGATCTCGAAATCCAAAAAAAGGAGTGCATTGGGCATGTGCAAAAACGAATGGGCACTAGATTGCGTGATATGAAAAAGAACAGTAAAGGTCTTGGTGGAACAGGAAAACTTACTGCTAAATTGATCGACAAATTGACAATTCCGAAAATGTATAATGATATTTGGGCAACGTATTTTCATTATGCTTCCACTGACAAGCACCCGCAACACGAAAAATGCCCTGTCGGTAGTGATTCATGGTGTGAATGGCAAAAAGCTCTCGCGGAGCTGCCTGAATCCTCTAGCGGTAAAAGGAAAACAAATAAAATTCCGGCATTTGTGCCCAGCTACAAGCCTCTTCCTCAAGATGTTTTAACGGCTATAAAGCCGATTTATGAAGATCTTTCCAAAGAAGGGTTGCTAGAAAGATGTCTAGGCAGATTTACACAGAACAACAACGAGAGATACAACCAACTTATTTGAAAAATAACCCGAAAGAATCTTCTTGGGGGCGTACTATCGGTTCAAATTGCAGCGTACGCAGCTGCCTGCATTTTTAACGAAATGTAGTCATCTTGAAGATGTTCGAGGTGTTAGGAATACCCTAACACCTCGACCTGGCCATCACGCTCATGCATACATCACTAAAGCAGACGAACAGCGCATATTAATCACTGAGCAGTGTGCGCAAAACGCTACTAAAGAGG